TCGCGTATGCTGGAAATGCCTCAGCTGTACAGAAAGTGCTATGATCAGCCGTTCCAGATGCCGAGAGATGACCTGGGCGGCACAGAGTGAGTCACACAGAAAGATTGTGCTATCTGTTATTTTACATGACATCATTTATATCTTAGATCTTACACTGCAGTAAGATAATATATATATTAAATGTACTTATAACTTATTTTATTTACAGAGCAGGTGGTTCCTCACATTTCCACTGTTTGCTGTCTCGGTCAGTTCTCGCCCTTAAGGAGTTCCTCTTAGAGAAAGAGGTGGCCAGGTTTCGTCCTTATGATGTTGAGTTCCTCTTACATCCACTGATTCAGAGTTCTTCAGCTGAACAGGTACTGAGCCTGACCTTGACATCCATTATACTCAGATAGAGAGATAGATAGACCTTATATATGCAACATTTATATACATAAAAGATGAATGCGCAACACTTCCAAAGTAAACTGTCCTTGTTCAATGTCACTACTCTTGGCTGAAGTATAACAGAACATAAGAGCCAGGAATAACTTATGGTGGGCACGGTAGGGAGGATGTGTTGTGCTGTTTGATGGCAGCAGGGAGTGATCGTCTGTAGCACTTTTATGAGATGCTGCTGGTCTGGAAATTCAAGGACGGCAGCATATGGTGAGGAGAAGTATACTAATGAGAAGCCTAATGATATCTTCCTTAGTAGTCAAATGAGAATGTGCATTAGATTTGCATTTTATTTAAATGTTCTTTATTTGTTAGAAGTTTTTTTGGGAGGCTGAATTGGTAGTTTTGAATGATTCATGACACAAATGTGATTCATTGTTGAGGTGACTCATCCATTATGATGCATTTCTTTTTTTGTCTGAAGGAGACGGATCAGCCTGGGACGTCAATTGCTACACAAATTCGAAAACTTCTGAAAGAGACACTGAGCATTCTCCAAGATGAGGGACAAATATTTCGTAAAATGCGGACCCCGGATGAAGTCTACAATGTATGTGGGACGGTTTCGCACACCACTTAGCAAATACAAACACTGGGTAATGTTACCTCAGGATACTCTTAAAATTAAAGGGATAATGTCTAGTATTTGCTTCCTACAGATGCTTTCTACACATTTCAGGAATAGGATTGGATTGTACCACTAGGATTTTAAAATTATATTTAATGGTTTAATCACAACTGAAATGTTATTTAACATATAATGTCTAAAACTAGTTCAAAATATATTTTCATTACCTTGGCTGCTTTAGGTAACAGAGCAAGACAAAGATCTTCACACAGCGATCAAGGACGTTTTACGAGAGGATACCAAACGGGAAAAATGTGAGGTTTTTTTTTGCATACTAGTAGCACATAATGTTATTAAAATTATTACACTCTTTGGAATACTTGTTTCTGATTGTTCAGACACGGCATTCTCAGGTCAGATTATTTTGCATAATTAACTACATAATTGATGTTTTAATTTCACCATAATAGTTTCAATTTGATGCAGTATTTTTGTAAATTTAGTTTTATTTTATTTTATAATTAGTATAATTAGTGAGATAATGTACAGGCAGGCAACATTATTTCAAAATATACCCATAGTGAAATATGTGAGTAGAGGACCTTCCTCATATGCTGTTGTTTTTTTTGGCAGATGCTGAAAAAGGATGCCATGTCCTGCATATATTGTCCAGCCTGAGGCAGCGCTACAGCCAAAATCTGAGTCGAGAGGTGCTGGAGGTTGCCCTGACATTCTTAGAATGCAATAGTGACATAATAAGCACAACAGAAGCGCACTACACTGTTTTGTAGCATTGTGTTTTAATTCCATAAAATATAGTGTTAAAAACAATCATGAAGACATAATGTTAACAAGTTACAGAATCCAGTTTTATTTAAATCATTAAAATCTATTTCATCCATTATTTATCTTTTTAATATCTTTTTTTACCCCCCCCCCATGGTTCAGCATAGGAAGAGTATCCAGACATACAGCATTTACTTAAACATTATTCTTAATGCCAGAATTATCTCTTTAATAGACTAAACATAAACTTTTGAGAACTGAGTATTTGTACTGTTTAACCCAAATGTTACAGCCATGTTAAAAAGATTTTATAATAATAATTGGAGTTTAATGGAACCAGTTCCCTTTCACTTCCATTATATGGGAAAGAGTGACCTGGAGTTTTATAGTGGGTGAGCTGAATGGGTCGTTTGAAACTGTAGTTACACTCAATGGCCTGAGGAGGTCACTGTGAGCAAATAGATACGTTACTGTCCATGAGCACATCTGTATCTGTGCGCGTTCAGGTCTCTGTATGCTCAATGGCAATACGAGTAACGAAAATCACGTCCCGCACTGTCTGTGATATTCTTAGATTATGGAATAGATGCGCAGCAGTCGTTTATGAAATTGTTTGAATGCGTATATGGACTATGCATATTTTGCATTTTTATTTATGGAACGTTTTTCAAATGACAGTTCATTTCTGGTGTGTGACATGGTTTTAGTGCAGTCCAGATACGCTACTGCATTCTTTTCTCTCACAATTGGCCTTTAAACAAGCTGAAGCAAACAAACAAACAATGCCTGGTCTGTAAAATCCAGCCATTGTCTCTATTGCCTGTAGAGGCTCTTAAACTGCAACAGAGCCCTTGTCAAGAAGCCCAGCCCCATTGCCCAAATATCCCATTCCCAGTGTGTGCGCACGCTTCCTGCCGAATGGACCTGCCTTTATGACGTGCGCCGCTCACGTTTAAGGAGAACCCCCAGACTTCAGCTACTCTACTGTAAGTCCACACAAAGGACGCGCCGATCCGGATTCCAGAATGACTCCGTAGAACGTGTCTCGATTCGAATTCAGCTGGAACGCGGCGGTTCGAGAATCGGCTCTGCGTTATGAGAGAAATGGATACGGCAATGTTCGTTTCCTGCAGACGGATATAAGTTTTGCATCATTTATTACTCGATCTTCATTTCTACATTACGTCAAGGGGGAATAAACGGACTGATTAAACGGACGGGCCGGGGGGCAACAGTCGTTTGCTTTCATTGAGAAGAGAAACATCGATATTATTCGTGCAAACGTCTTCGTGACTGTCCATTTCATTCTGTGGCTGTCTGATAACTAGCCGTGCTTCTAAAGCCTCTGTTTGCACAATGCAGTTTCGGACAGTTTTGGATGTAAAAGTGGTGGATGTGGAGAAGAGGAGGA